ATACTGGTAGCGTGAAAGATTAGGGAGGTCTACATATAAGGTGTAGGGAGTCTCTTAATGGTGTGAGGCCTTTGGGTAAAATACGTGCGGGCTTGGCCCAAAGCGGACAATATCACACCATGTTAAGAGTGTCATTGGGCCGTTTTAGCCCAACACTTGCAACCAGATAGGAAGAAAGTGTAGCGGATTTGAATGACGGAATCTTTTTGCGCATGTTCCTGAATTACATAATGCATTACATATTCACTTATTAAATCCTTTCGTACACAACGCTTTTCATTATATTGTCTCGATTAGTGATTGATCCTTGTCATGTGTACCACCATCTCGCCTACCTATGAAACAGTTATGAGTCAACATATTGTAAAACTACTCGAGTATCTTTTACCATTGGAAGATGGACTTTGTATAGGTCCAAATTTGGTAACAACTGTAACGGATAGTAACGGTAACTTAAGTTTAGAAGTGGGCTTTGAATATTCTTTATGTTGTACTTTTTAGGGTTTTTGGGGAATGTCTCTTATAAATAGGAAGAGATGGGAAACAAAAAGGGATCTGCCCTTTTTGGAACTGGAACATATTGTAAAAGTTGAAAGAAGAATACACAAGAGAGTTGTCTATTTGTTTATTTAAGCACATGTTGTTTAATTTCTATCCATAAATCTCGAGATCCCATATATATTCCAACTGCTCTCATTTCCACGTCGTCCTCAGAAGAAAGGAATCTCCCAATAATCTAATCATTAGGTGATAGTTCCTTTCCCACTATCATCTTTGTCATTATTTACATTTATTATACATTTATGCTATTACATGCACTGTCAATCGTAGCAAATTAACTCCACTATTTGATGCTCCCGAACTCTATCCATTATACAAGAGTTTGGTTTTGTTCGATCTAGAATTTATTAGATACAACTAAGATTCACCCCTTTCAACTTATCATTAATTGGTTTAGCATTTATTTGCTCAAACAATTTGGCGCCGTTTGTGGGGAGTTTTTAGTTGAATATATCGTTCTTTCTAGGTCAAAAAAAAAAGAGGAGAAAGACAACCATCTTTTCTTCGTTTGCATAAACTAATGATGGCAGGAAAAGGAGGTAGTAAAAATGCTGAACCAAGGGCACCTGAGGGACTGAGGAGCGACCGAGGACGAGCCAACTTCGGCCGCGAACGTGAACAGCACCAGGGACCTCCAAAGCCACCCTCCCCCGCTCGTACAATCCAAATGATCGTCAGCAGAGGTGACAAGGCAGCGATCAACCATGTGAAGTTCACCACTACACACAAACTCGAGCGGTCAATCACTCACGAACAGTACGATGACCTCGAAGACAGTATCATCTTCGATAAATCGGATACTGACGGTTTGACTTTCCCTCATTTCGACGCTCTTGTTATTACTTTACGTATTTCAGATACTGATGTGAAAAGAGTAATGGTAGACGGCGGAAGCGGCGCGTGTATTATCCACCCTCGAGTCCTCATACAGATGAGACTCGAAGACAAGATAGTACCGCGTTGCATAACACTAACGGGTTTTAATAATGCAGTTGAGCGAACCTCTGGAGAGATAACGCTACGCGTTCTGGCTGGGGGCGTCACCCTAGAAACAACGTTCCATATCATAGACCAAGATACAGCTTACAACGCTATCATTGGGCGGCCATGGATACACGCCATGAGGGTCATCCCGTCAAGCCTATATCAAGTAATCAAGTTCCCTACTCCACGGGGAATATTCAGCATCTGAGGCGAAAATGCACTGCTCAAGAGTGCTATTGTAACGCCCAGGATTGCACGTACACCCAATAATTAAAGGGAGCAAATGCGGAAGCATAGCAATTAACAATGTCGGGGGACCAAACCCGACGTACAAACAGACGTCATCAAGGATCCCGACATCGTGGAAGCCGCCGAGTCGACGATAGAAGAACTCGATACCGTCTAACTAAACAACAGCGACAGCAGCAAAAAGGCTTACATCGGACACAAACTCTCAGAACCAGGTAAATTTCACAAGTTTTTAATTGATAATGCCGATTTGTTTGCTTTCTCCCATGCAGATATGCCAGGCATCCCGAAAGGCGTTGCCACTCACAAGCTGAACGTCGACCATTCTATCCACCAGTAAGGCAAATGAGAAGAAAATTTAACGCTGCAATCAATGAGGCTGTCAGTGATAAAGTAGATAAGCTGCTCGCCAATGGTTCCATCCGGGAATCAAAATATCCCCAATGGGTTGCCAATATGGTCATGGTAAAAAAGAAAAATGGGAAATGGCGGGTGTGCGTAGATTTCACATACCTAAACAAAGCATGCCCAAAAGACTCGTTTCCCTTGCCTCACATCGACCAGCTCATCGACGCAACAGCAGGGCACGAACTGTTGAGCTTCCTGGACGCCTGATCGGAGCCAACCCTACACCACTACGGAGTGGCGAGAGCGGTTGATGCAGCTTTTACCCAAAAAGGTCGATATCGAATCCACAACGAGCTAGATTTGGGAATTGGATTCCTATCTAAACTAGCAATGCGTAGTGCTCTTAATTACGCTTCCAATCATAATTGTTTGCTTTTTACTTCTAATATTATACTACTGAGATGCTAAATTAAACTAAGAATAATTTCTTGAAAGGTTTTCAAAATAGGTAACGAGGCACTAGGGAAGTGACTTTCCCCTAGGTGAATACTTTACGGGTTTTAAAGTCTAAGGCAAAGTTGTTATGTTTGGGATCGCGATATAGACAATGCACGACACTACTCACTCTATACCTCTCGGTAGCTTGAGTGACTTTGCCCTAATTGACTTTCTCAACACCAATTGGGTGTCGAAATTATGCAAGCAATGTAGGCTCAAGTCCAGTATTACTATCTCTAGATTTAACCCTTTAATTGGGGCTATCAATATCTTGAGTACGCCCCAATTCCTTGTTGGAATGATTTCCTGGACTCAAGCTCTCTTTCTCAAGAAGAGCCCAAGTCACATCGGCACAAATTAGTGTTTGCAACCACTAATTCAACATGGAAAATCCAAATATCAACCACCCATAAACATCTAAGCCTTAAAACACAAGACCCATCAAATACCCACACTAGGGTTGAGCCACAATCCTAGCTAATGGGTCTTGCTGCTCATAATAATTAGATGAAGAATAACCCTATAATATGTTTACAAGCTAAGAATTAAAGATTCAATGATTAACCAACTATAAAATTACTCAAAATACACTAAAACCGTCGTTCACGTGCTCAGCTAAAAGTTCGATACCCTAAAAATCTGAAAAAGAACTATTCATGCAAGGCCGAATACTCTGGACAAAAATACCCCTGACGGAGGTACTGCGGACCGCATAAAATGGATTGCAGCCGCAGTGAGGCTTTTTAGCTTGATTTCTGAGTCTATGAATCTATCCACCGCGGACCGCATAAAATGGACCGCGGCCGCGGTGGCTTCATCGCGGACCGCACAAAATAGATTGCAGCCGCGATGGCCTCCAATCTTCAAAACTCCCAACTCTCTGAATATCCTCTCCGCGGACTGCATAAAATGGATCGCGGCCGCGAAGAGTCTACTGCGGTCCGCACAAAATAGACTGCGGCCGCAGTGCTTGAGCTTCCAAAAATTGCATCTCTCTGATCTTTTCCACCGTGGACCGTACTAAATGGACTGCGACCACGGTGAATCTTCTGCGGCTGCAGTGGATTTTATGCTGCAGCAGTGCCTTGACTTGTTCTTGGTACTTGTGCAGGTTTCACTCCTTATTAAGCTAGTTTTGACTACTTGTCACTTTTTTTGACCAAACCCTGCAAACAAGTACAACATGTAAGACTTTGGGACTATTTGTATACATTTCTAATCAAAACTCAAGTAAAAAGGAGTGTAAAAGTGAACTAAAATCCCTAGTTATCAACTCCCCCAAACTTAAGCTTTTGCTTGTCCTCAAGCAAACAAAATAAGTCCCACCTCCTAAAGAATACAACCAAGAGAATTCAGCTGACCTAAAGTGACCTCATCTAGCATCAATTGGGACTAACAATTGCCCTCAATTCCAATGAATCATTAGCTACATTCAACCTTTTAAACACCATGGTTTAAGTGCGACACAAAAGCCTCAAGGATTGACTCAAACTCATCAAGGAAACTCTTTCTACTACTTTGGTCATTGTGGAACCCAAACTCATACTCCTCAACTCTCCATAAGCAAACCTTACTTTTAGGTTGTAGCACTCAGAACGAGGATTGTGGAAAACACATTCATCTCTCTCAAAGAAAGGTCACAAGTTCGGCTCTAAGTACCATAAGCACTAATATAAGCTTTATTCAACTCAAGATCATATAGGGCTTTTGTGGAGATATGGTGAAGGCTTTTGGTTCAGGGTAGGAAATATTTGGTTTATGTAGGTTCCATCTTCCCTTAAGCACTTCATTTGCTTCATTTTAGCACACATTCTCTTGACTTATTGAGTCATATATTTCTTTCTTAGGGGTTAGAGAGACACACAGTCACTCTCTCTTGATCATTTCAAAACCTTTTTCTCCTTTCTACACTTTCCACGCCTTTCATCACTTTACTTTTATTGAATCTCTTCATTTCTTCTATATTGTTCATTCTTTTTGACTTTTTGATTTTCTTTCTTTTTCTTTTTGCTTTTCCTTTTCTTCATTTTTGCACCTTTTACCACTTTGTTGCATTCCTCGTCTCTCCCCCCAAACTTATGCTTTTGCCTTGTGCTAAAGAAAGATAGGGTGCCAAGAGAGGATCTTTTTTTAAAAACAGGTAAAGACTTGTGTCATGGTCTTTGAAGAAAAAAGGGCTATGGCTCAAAGGGGTTGACTAGGGACATTATCATTGGTAGGCTATGGATGTTTTCAAGATATCATTTGGATCAATGAGAGCCTATAATCACTTCTCAAGTCAAACTACACTTAGGATTTCGCCTAGACAAGCATTCAGGGCAAGTTCTAGACTCAATGGCACAAGACTTGGACTTGCAATTCAAATTCTCACCACACAAGCTATAGGATTGCTAAAAAGACAGAGTCGGGGGCCCACAACGACCTTAGCTGAGATTTGAGCAACACAAATGGTCCCGAAAAATCACTTGATGATTGTCGGCCAACACAAGAGTCTCAAGGCCAACACAAGAGTCTCAAGGTCACCACTACAGAAAAACAAAAAAAGAAAACAGACTCAAACCCTTAAGAAGGTTGTCATGCTATCCATCATCGGAAAGAGCCACTCGGTTCACACAAATTCCACCTTTGGAAAGAACCGTGGCATTAAGAAAACCAAAGGCTTATTGCACGCAAAATTCAAAATAAGAAGCTACAAAAATAAAGTAAGAAGCTATGAAAGAAAATGCGGAAAGTAAAATGAATATGTACAATAGGGGATCTAGACGAATATACATAAGAGGTAATGAATATATACATCAGAAAGTAACTTTATACACAGACCAAAGTTGCAAAATACGAAAAGTGAACTAAACTGGTAAAATTATATACATACCAAAAGTGAAAATCAAAGCATAATAAGACGAAAATAGCATCATATTTACAACCCAGTATCATCAAAATAGGGCTACCCCTTCAAATGAAAGCTAGCATTGTCCTCAATGTTAACTAACCAAAAATAGCTCAAACAAAAAAGATAGAGAGTAAAGAAAACTCCCTATTGGTCCTGGGTCTGCATGGGATCATGAGCCTGGGTCCTCTGACTGTTCGGGAACCTGTGACTGGGTCCCTGTAACCTGTGCCTGCACTGGGACCTGAGGCTGCTTTGAGACCTGGGGCTGGCTGGAAGAACCTCCCTGCGGGTCCTCCAACTCAATGACTGCATTATCTGCTCGGGGGATCACTCTTCTCCTCTTTGGTGCCCTCTCCAACTCCTGTACCGGCTCAGTCTGAGCTGCTGGAATTGGGTCATGCAATAAAAGCTCCAATGGCAAGTGATCAGCAGCCTTCATCTTCTCCACTTCTGCCCTTAACTCCTTCACAGACTCCCTGGAGGCTCGAGTCTTTCTCAGCTTCTTTGTCTCCTTTGTCAGCTCCTTCAATGCTTTCCTATGAGCACCTACAACCTCCAATATCGACTGCTGGTTCTCCAAAATCTTCTTCTGGTTGGCCAGAAGCTCCTTGAGAGTCTCCTCCACTGACTCTGGAACCTGTGCCTGTGGGGGCACGGACTGGGCTGCCACCGAGGTAAAAAGCACAGACAGCTTAGAAGTAGCTGTATGCATCCAGTTGTTGATACTGGCAAGGGTTTAGATCAAACGGTGGGCAGTTAATGGGTAGGCTGTGGATGAGGGAATATCTGGAGCAGTGGAAGTAGAGGGTCCTGGGGCAATATCTGGTGTAGCTGAGGGAGGCTGAGTAGAAGGAAATACTACTACTGGCTCTTCAGACTGGCCAGTAGAAGTAGTGGCTTTTCCTTTTGGATCTTTATTTTTGGGGTTGTCATCACTCTTTAGGCTGTACCAGGAAAAAGGCAGCTTTGGTTTTACCTTCACATCAAACTTCCTTTTCTCCACCTCCAGGTCGTCAAAGTACATTATCAGGAAATTTGGGAAGGGATATGATCTATCACGTTCATTGACCACCCGTGTGATCACACGAGACATGGCATCCGGACATTGATCGGGTACCCTGCCATAATTGAAGCCACCAAGATTTCCCGGGAGATAGGAATCGAGTTCTCATGAGTAGTGGGGTCCAGCCTACTACACACGAAAGTCTCCCACCCCTTTGCTT